GAAGCAGTGAAAAATAGGAGTCATTCAACTTTTTTCCTTCACCTGTGCTAATTTCCATATTGCAGATATACCCAGTCTTGCTCTCACATACCATTCTTACAAGTCAACCATATTTAATAATTTAAGCTGGGTTGTAAGTTTGAAATAGAAGACATCCCCTTCAGGGAATCATGCCTTCATCTAATGATAATTCTCACGTAGGTTTGTATATTGTCTGAAATTTACTAATAAAATGGTCGAGTACCGATTGAGTTTTAAATAGCCTGGATGAATATTTAGTCATGTTTGCATTGTCACTGAAATGCCAATAAGTCCATATTTGTTCAAAAACGATTTCGACTGATCGTCTGAGGAAATATTGGAACAGTTAGAACTGGATTTGTAGACCAATATTCTTTCCAAGTATCCTTTCGAGTACACCCCATTAGCAGTATAAGTCCTAAAAAAAAATTTTCATATCTGTTGGAGTAACAGGAGACCACTTTATTGCTTTCGAAATTTTGTGCTTTCCCAAATTTTGGTTATACCATATGTTTGATTGATGACAAAATAGTTCAAACAGATCGTCATCAAAAATCAAGTTGGTCGCCAGCACCGGTTTGGCTCAGTGGATAGAGCATCGGCCTGCAGACTGAAGGGTCCCGGGTTCGATTCCGGTCAAGGGCATGTACCTTGGTTGCGGGCACATCCCCGGTGGGGGTGTGCAGGAGGCAGCTGTTCAATGTTTCTCTCTCATCGATGTTTCTAACTCTCTATTCCTCTCCCTTCCTCTCTGTAAAAAATCAATAAAATATATATTTTTTAAAAAATCAAGTTGGTAACTTCAATGATGTTCTTAGAATCAGATGATATAACTGTAATGCCAGAATTACCTTCAAATTTTTCCAAATTGGGTTGAAAGTCCTCTTTTGACCAATCATTATCTCGGCAACCAAAACGCAAATTACATTCAGAATCATGTGTGAAATTGTCCAAATTTTCAGGTTCAGAATCACTTGAAATTTTTCACCTTTTTGAAGGAATAACTATATCACTGCCACTGTCAAAGCTTTCATCACTTTCACTTGGAATATCTGATAAATTGTCAGCAAATATGTCCAGGATTTTATCATGTTCTTCGTCACTATCCATGGTTACTGAGCACTTTAAAAATATCAAATTGATATAAAAGTTATTTTTATTACTAACGACAAGAGACTAATCACTTTTAATTCCTTTTGTAATTTTTAACTTCAGCGAACACATGTTCCGTTACACTGTTTCTCTCTAAATAACTATGAACAGCCAAGAATTCTCCTGATTGGCCACAAGCCTTAGAACAAAAACACAAGAATTCTCGTGATCTGTTCACAAAATCACCGATGTGAAGAATTTAAAGGACTCTGCTGTTTCAACCTGACTGGTCATTCACAGCTCAAAGAACATAAAGGAAAGCAAGTAAATGAAGTAGTGTCCAAGATAAAACAAAGAGAGGAATTCTTTGTTTTTGATTTGTTTGGATTTGGTTAGTTTCAAACTAACCTGCGGGCTACCTAGTGTTACTGGCCTTAGGGCGGCATTCATTTTTATTCTTTTCATCTTTTTCAGTATTATAGCTTGTTGTTGTTGCATACAATGTGCTCCCTCAAGTGTATTCCCAAATCCCCTACAAGACTCTAATGCAGTGGTTCTCAACCTTGGCTGCACATTAGAATCGCCTGGGAATCTTTTTAAAAATCCTGATTTCTGGGCATCATCCTCCGGAAATTCTGTTTCTTTGTTATGGGGTGGGGCCACAACGGCAGCAGCAGGCAAGCAAGCTACCAAGGACAGGGGTGTAAGAGTGAGCAACTCCTACCAACCCACAGAACCTCTTGGGTGGGGCCACAACATTAGTAACAAAGAAACAGAATTTCCGGAGGATGAGGCCCAGAAATCAGGATTTTAAAGATTCCCAGGTGATTCTAATGTGCAGCCAAGGTTGAGAACCACTGCTCTAATGCTAAGAATCTTTTTTTTTTTAAGTGAAACTAATCCCATCGAAATAAGATAGACTAACAGTGGGGAATGACAGGGAAATCAAGAAGTTAAAAATGTTTCGTTTTAGTTATATAGTTATATATAGCTATATATAACTATAGTTATATAGTTAATAGTCTTGGTAATGAAGACTATTGTTTCAGGGACTGAAATGTATGACTGGACCTACCCCGCCTTCAGGAGACCCACAAGCAATTCGACCTTTGTGTCCCAGGAGGACTGCAAGAGGCCAAGACAGTATCTGAACCATTGTGCTCCAGGGAGAGAATGTCAGCCTCCCAGGAAGCAGATAAAGAGCCACCCGGGGGTGGATGAAGGGATGCTTGGAAAATGACCCGGCTGCAGCTTTATCTGATTAAACCTTTTCCCTGAACCCCAAACCCTTTACCTACTTTCTCCTGAACTACAAACCCTTTACCTACACTTTTCTCCTTAAAAAAAAGGTCAGCTTGAGATGAGATGTAAGACGGTCTTTTAGGGTACATAACACACCGTCTTCCAGATCCTCAGCCATGTGAATTAAAGCACCCATAAAAACTCAATCCTTGTCTCTACTTACTGGTTCTGGTAGTGACAGGCAGCACGAACGCCAACTTTTCCAGTTTCACAAGGAGGAAAACAAAAAAAAGGGACAGCATGTTCATAGCAATTTTTTTTGATAATAGAAAAAAATCTAAACAACTTAAATGTCTTCTAGTAGGAAATGGATGAGTAAATAATTCCGTGTAATAAGCCTTTAGCTTGCAGCCAAGTGATACTTGTTGAGCGCCTACAAGAGGCCAATCTCTGACAGTGCAGAGAAAACACCAGCCCTGTTCCTACGTTGATGACACTAATGGGAGATACTTTAATGCATTCCACCGCCCAATTATCCAAAAAAGATCATCTCGCCACGTAATATAAATTTGTAAAAAAAAAAAATCTGTCATGGACAAAGGAAAGAGGACGCGCCACTTTCGGCCAGCGAGAAGTCAAAGCTCGCCCCGCTCCGGCCGGGACCGAGGCCACCGGGAACGCC